CCCGCAGCTGCCGACGCACACGCCCCGATCAGCCCCGCAAGCTGACGACTGCCCTGATCTCTCGAGATCCGCGATCTCACTTCAACACTTCTCCTCGTCGGTAGATGCGTCCTTTCGCACTCCCTACTTCCTCCTATTCCAAACCGATGAGCACTCGCAGTTCGCGCAGTCTCGATGACGGTAACACCTTGGTAAGCACGTCCGCCAACATGTTCTTGCTGTCACAGTACTCGGGCTTCAAGTCCCCACACTTCGTGTGATGAACGACGAATTTGATCGTAATGTTAATGTGTTTCGCCTTGGATGAAACCTTCTCACCATCCAGCTGCTTCAAAGCAGCCTGGTTATCGACCTTCAGTCCCATCGGCCGCATAAATGCGACCTCTAGCTCACCCAGCATCTCGCGAATACCGAGCAGCTCTTGTCCCATGACTGAAGCGGCCGTGCATTCCGCTTCCATGGTCGACAACGCGACGCCACCCTGCTCCCTACATACCCAACCAATCGCCATCCCGTCAATCGTGACAAAACCACCGGTCACCGACTTCCTGTCTTCTTTATCAGCCGCGAAATCCGCGTCACTGTACGCGATGACCTCCAACGGCTTGTCCGTGTTGTTCTTGCCCCGCATCCTCAGACGCAGGTCCTTCGTTCCGGTGAGATACCGCAGTATCCTCTTGGCTAGTTTCCAGTCCGTCATGGTCGGACTGTGCGTACGTCTCGACACCTTGTGGACCGCAAATGCTATGTCCGGCCACGCGCAGCGGGCCAGCCACAACAGACTTCCTACCAAAGATTGGAACCTTGACACCGTGACGGTGCCCTCTCGTCCAGTGCTTGGAAGCAGATTCACCGTCTTCTCCACACACTCGTTCCATTCTTCACCAATTGGTGCTCTCACCCCGTGTGCCAACTCCATGCCGTGATCCTTGAGTAAGTCGGCAATGGTTACCTCCTGATCGAGTTCGTAGCCGTCCTCGTCGTCGTAACTGACGCGCATACCAAGGAACTTGTGAGCTTGGCCCAGATCCTTCACAGAGAGTGAGTCTAGCTCACCGAAGAACGCATCCACGGCTGCCTGCTCGGTCCCGGTGACCAGGAGGTCGTCCACATACACTCCAACCACCAAGTGCACCCCGGCCTTTGATCTGAAGTTTACGCACAGATCCACCAGGCTCTGTACAAAGCCTATCTCCACGAGCTTCTTGTGAAGCAACTTACTCCACAGTCTCCCGGCCTGTTTCAGGCCATACAGCGCCTTGTGTAGTTCTAGTACGACTTCCCCAGCGCTGGTAACGCCCAGTTCCTTCATCAATTCCAACGGAATAATCATGCCCTGCGGCACGCGGACAAAAATGTCCAGGTCGGCCTCCTTGTCGGCCTTCACGTACGCATTAGGCACGTCGCCGTGCTTTGCAGGTACGCGCCATTTCCTGGCCAATACGAAATCAACTTCACGCTCGTCATCTCGATGACGGCCGCAAACGTGATTCCGTAGTTTACGCCAAACTCTTGCTCATTCCCACAAGCAACTAGGCTCGCCTTCAGGCGCTCGATTAGCCCCTCAGCGTCCCTTTTGGTCTTGTAGACCCACTTTGTGTGCAACACACGCACTCCACGCCGGAGCCGCACCACTTTCCAAACCCCGTTGGCCTCCAGAGCGCTCAGCTCCTCCGCCATCGCTTTTAACCATTTCTTCTTGAGCGGGCTACGCATAGCCTCTCCGTAGTTTTTCGGGTCCACGTCGACGACGTTGTTCACGACGTCTTGCTCTGTCTCCTCCTGCTGTGCGACCTCGTCCGCGTTTCCAGCAGTCTTACGTCCCACTGATCTTGTCACTGGTCGTTCCCGGGTCCAGCCCTTCTTTTTCGTCCTTTTGCCGCGCCTCTTCGCGGTCTTCATACGACCACTCGTGGTCTCTGCACTCGCAGTGTCGCCCGCCTCGGAGGTCGATGTATCTTCGCTGTTGTGCTCCTCCTCAGCCTCGGCCGAGTGCTGCTGTAACGGTAGACGCCGAACTTGCTCGTTCTGCGTCTTGTTAAGAGTCTCTATGTTCTTGACGTGCTGGGTCGTGATAACGACCTTGTCCCTTGGCAAGTACACTCTATAACCATTGGTTTCTTCTCCAATGCCGATGATCACGCCTTGCTGCGCACGATGCGAGAAGTTCTTATTGCGTGGGTCGCGGTATACCGTGCATGGTGAACCAAAAACGACGATCTCGCCTAGCTGAGGAGTCTGTTTCGTCAACATCTTCATCGGTGATGCCCTGCCCGGGTTCGAGTTCGACGGCGATCTGTTCAAGATGTACGCGGCGTACTGCACGGCGTCCCCCCAGAAACTTAGCGGAAGACCACACGCAAAAACCATGCACCTGGCCATGTTCATGATCGTGCGGTGCATCCGCTCGGCCTTGCCGTTGCTCGCCTGATTCCGAGCTTCGCTCTTCTGCCTAGCCACGCCTGTGCGCTTACAGAAGAGATCCACGTTCTCGTACTCGCCACCCGAGTCCGTCCTCAACACGTGTATCTTGCAGTTGAATCGCTTCTCAAAGAACATTAAGAAATGTCCAAACTGTTTTGCGGCAGCGTCCTTCGTGCGCGCCACAAACACTCTACAGTAGTTGCTCTTGTGATCAACGAAGTTGATCATGTAGCGGTTGTTGAGGCGGTCCCTGGGAGTCATCGGACCCTTCAGATCCGAACAGATCAC